TTCATCTTAACTCCGCAAAGGCTGTTTTCATGTAGCAAATTAACCCCGGGGTCTCTCCTGTCGTGAGAAGCTGGAAAACCACTCAACAGATACTTTAGTTTTTAACCTAAGGCCTTGGGCTACAAGTCTGAAGAAAGCAAACACACCTACATGTTTTTGTGTTGAAAAGTAAATAAAATGTTCAAAATCCAAGAGTTCTACTTTTTAACTAGAACATGTGGAGTTGCAGCAGCACACATTGACGATCAAGTTGCGCTGAAATATCTTTTACCTGATTCCATATTTCAGCACTAAACTTGTATAGTTCTTTGTATTGTAAGAGATCTGAGGCGCCAGTAAACCTAAACAGCGGTGAAGACCCCGAGGTGTTAATGAGAACAGGCCTGTCACTCATCCAAACCAAGGACATCTACTCAAAACTGGATACTGTATACGTGACATTTCTTCATTACACTGACAACTTTTGTGTATCTAATTTGGAGTTTCAAGATCAGGTGGTTCTTGATTTTTTGGCCTGAGTCGGATTCTCTCTTGCACCTCTCTTGCCTAAAACAGGATGGTCACATGTATGTATTATTAAAAATGCTATGAGGTGCTCCTAAAGGTTAATCACATTTGCTTGGTAGCTCTTTGTAGTTTCCATAAAGGAGATTTTTTTGTTTTTTTTTTAAGGGCAGAGGAAGTGTGCTGTTGTCAAGCCACTCACTGACACCAATCTGTCTTGGTTGAGCCTGTCAGGAGCAAAAACCTTCATAGTCTAATGGAGATACATAAGCCTTTCCTCCATGACAAGAACGTGATTGATGTGTGACTTTAATGGAACTTTAAGGCTGGTGAATGTGGGCCGTACACTAGAGCTTGAAACAAAGAGATTGGAAGTCTTACACCTATGATGCAACAATAATCTAGAACATAAATTCTCACAGTCCAGAGAAAACTATCTCAAGATGCTCAGTGCGGCAGAGTAGAAAGATTAAAATTGTTTTTTGAACAATAACATATTAATCACAAATTAGTGGCACCTCATGCTGCATTTGTTGCACATTTCCACTGATAAAATCAATCCAATTTAAGATGTGGTACACAGTGTTTCTCAGGTATTTACAAAACATTGTCTTGGATTTTATCTTATTCAGGATCTTTCAGTTTACTTCATAAAACAATTATATAGCAAGTATAGTGATAATGTCAACTGAGTGATCAGTGGACAGCATTTAAAGTCTCTCTCCAGTCACTGACTTAACCCCTAAAAGCTCCTCTCCATACATCTGAATAACATATTTGAAAGTTTGTTTTGTTTTCTTTTTTCCCATGAATGTAATCCCTTCATGCCTTAAAGTGGCTCAGATGGAACACTAGGAAATCCCATCCTCAATCGTGATTTCCCCCTTCCCCGGTTGCTGCAGCCCGAGCACACCAGCTCACCTACGACTCTGTAAAACTGCTCTGAGCTACACAATGGAATGGCAAGTTATAATTGTGGTATCATTTCACAATACATGTTCAAACTAGAAACCAGTTTTGCAGAAGAAGAATAATACGGAAACCAACACACTGGCTCAATCCCAACATCCAGAGTCACGAACTCACAGACTGTGAGGCGAGTTCCTGCTAAATGTGCAAGGTCTCAGAGCTGTCCCACTGTCAAGCTGTCAAGTGCACGAGGACTCTCTTGAAGACATTTTGAGCCCTTTATGCACACATTGTGTAAGACTTTGCTGGAGGGAATTACCCATACTTCACAGTGTTGTCACGTTAAACAGGGGGCTACCAGAGGAAGACCAGAAGGTGAGAAAAGGTAAACAGACAAGCACAGAAGAAGCAACCAACCCCAAGAAAAAAAGAAGTATATACACATAGTTTGGTGGTGATTCATAGCCAGAACTGTGCAGTTGTTTTTTCCTTGATGGCCTGAAGATGAATTCCAAATATTATTTTTCTTAAGTACCTCGCCTGTTAAGTGACTAAAATATGCAAAATAAAAAGTTCCAAACCCACAAATGGAGGTTTTGCCTTAGTTCAGACAGACATGGAGTCAGGGTGTTTGATCTGCTTCAGCTACTTCAGTTCATAAGTTCAAATCAGAAAAGGTTGGCCATCCCAGCTCCACCCATCCCTCCAGAAGACCTTGCTTCTAACCTCCGTTCATCATGTCTCCACCAGAAGTCCACCAGTCTCTCCTCTAAACATCATGAACTCCAATTCAAGCCCTAAAATCCAAGTTTCCTCAGCACCTGTTACCTGCCGTACAACTTCCGGGTTCAAGTCAGCTGCCTCCGCCCACCAGAGTGACATCACCGTGACTCCTGCATAGGCTGTATAAAAGATGGACGTAGCAACCGGCCCTGAAAAATGAAGCCAACCCGGAAGTGTCAAAAACCTGCAGTATCACTACGTCCGCTACGTATCACAGGTTGCTGACTCCAAAAAGCCCTGGCTCCCATAGACTTCAATTGACAAAGAAGTGTTCACAGATCACGAAATACTGCATTCCTACAGCTCAGGATTTTTTTATTATTAGTTTTCATAGTCAAATCCAGAGATCAGGTGGCCAATCTGAAAATAAATCAATACTGAATTTTTTAAAAATCGTCAAAATTTGGGGCAAGGAGCGTGGCTGGCTTGATTGACAGTTGGCAGCGACCATACAGACGAAGCGAGCAGAAGGCGGTAAATGTGGGCGGGCAAGGAGGGCCTGCCTCTCAATCCGTCTCACCAATCGCTGCTCCTATGGCTCCGCCCCCTCCGACGATTTTTGCATCACTTGCTCCAAAATCCAAGATGTCAACCAGGAAGTAGCAAAACCCTGGCTTCATTCTCTCATTTTCTGAGAAGAGTCTGACTGCAGCTGGATTTTCTCAGTGCAGAAACCAACGGGTGACGTCACGGTAGCTACATCTATCTTTTATACAGTCTATGGACTCCTGCAGCTCCATCGCCCCCTGCTGGTGTGGCCCTTCTCCAGCCATGTGCTACTGGCAGGTAATGATACCAATCTAGTTACATTCTGTCAATTCATGTGAATCAGGCTGTGGAGGAAAAGTCTTGATGATTGTGCTGAAATAGTTTTTAAGATCATGATTCAAGGCCATCATAGGATATTTCAGTGACTGTTTAAGGTGTTTTTCGAAACTTATAGATTAAACTAAAATTAATCTGCCACAGTAAAGTTGAGCCCAAGAGGCTTAATGCACCAACAGTCCCACCCAGGGCTCCAGACTGTGACCACATTTCTGAGAGTATGCAAGTTAAAATTTCAAGTGGTCTCATTTGAGCAAGTAAATTACAAAGCTGTGTTGCTGTCACTCTAACTGGCATGGGCAGCTACTGCGTTGGCTGTATCAGTTAAAAGAAGTACTTTCATAACTTCAGTAGCTCTGTCAGTCTGTCCCTGGCTGATGCATAAAACAAGTTGTTTAGCTGCTCTGTGTTTTAAAGATAAAGATGGTTGGTGGAGGAAAACAGGTCCTTGGTTTTCTTAGACAATTTTGACATTAAAATGCATTATTTCACTGTTTTCAAAGTAATTTGGGTCACACACACACTCACACCTTTCTGAGCACACTGCAGCCACCAAGCAGCAGCTGGCCTTCACAATGAGGCATTCAGGGAGCATTGGTAAACAGGTGTCCATCGATAAGCAGATGTTCAGCAAGTGACCTGTGACATGATGGGAGTGATACCAGCGGTTAAAGGTAGTCTGCAGGCCTGCTCCATGCCATCTTTCTTCACCTTCATAATTGCAGATTAGGATGTTTAAATGGTTAAATCTAACAAAGTGTCCTGTCTGAAATGGAGCTTTTGCGTTAGTTCAGACAGGGAGGGAGTCAGAAGACCCTTTTCTGTCCAATCATTCACTACTTGACTCCAGCCCACCGACTTAGCGTGCTATATAACCAAGGCAGTGTTCATTCATTCTGCCTGCTCCATGCTCACCACATCGCTGCTACACCAGCCTCTACAGATCTGCAGATGAAGTAGAATAATGATACAGAAGCTATCACCCTGCAAGTTGAAACGATTGGTTCTTTTGGTGTGTTAAATATGAAATCCTGGAAGTCTGATTCAGGTGTTGTTGAGTCTGTCATTGGTACATTGCAGTTTGAAGGTAAACTTGCATATAAAAGAGACCATATGGATGTGTTAACGAGGTTAAAAAAAAAAAGGAGAACACTTGGTTTTTACTGGGGGCTGCAAGGTGGATCAGCGGTTAGTACCGTCGCCTCGCAGCTAGAAGGTCGCCGGTGAATGTGAGTGTGCTTGGTTGTCTGTCTCTAAGTGTAGCCCTGTGATAGACTGGTGACCTGTCCAGGGTGTCCCCTGCCTTCACCCTGAGTCAGCTGGGATAGGCTCCAGCCCCCCTGCGACCCAAGTGAGGATTAAGCGGTGTATAGAAAATGGATGGATGTTTTTTTTTTTACTGGAAGGGGTCTTTAAGGAAACAGGGAACAAGCTGAGACAAAACCCTGTTAACAGTGATGTAGAGGATACTGGTCCCCTCCTGTTTACATCAGTTGTATATGTCATTATTGCAGCATCATTCTTATACCCTTAGACCCTTGAGGGAATCCCACAACTCCCACCCCATCACAATATGGCGTTCATCATGTCCCAGAAGACACCAGGACCAGGATCCCTGTAAATAAATCCATCTGGCTGCTGTGCTGCTGTTCCACCACTGGGTGTCGCAGTCCCGTCACAGAGGCGCCGTGCAGGGGCGGGGGAGACCTGACCATTGGGCATTGAGCTTGGGTCAGGTGGAAAAGAACGGGTGATTGGTTTACGAGCCGACATCCTTCCTCCTGATTGGACAGAAAGGTGTGAGAAAGAAGAGGCTGAGAGGGGAGAGAGCAGATCTCCGGCAGCAGTTTTCCCCCCCTTTCAGTCCCCGCTGACTCTGCCGGTTCAGCACACACTAACTGAGGACTGCTATGTGACTGCCTAGCAGAGGAATACAGCGTGTTTCTGTGGGGATTTGTTTTTTTTCTTGCAGCCGGATAATGGGAGAGGACGGGCGGGGAGTCACTACGGCCACGCCGGCCACTTGGGCTGCGCTGCTTCTCTGTGTGATTACTTCTGTGTGCGCAGTGGAAGGTAGGTGGGCAACAAAAAAAAAAAAAAGAAAGAGGGGACATTTTTCAATGCTGATGCTGGGTGAAGCCTTGAATTAATTTATGCACTAAGTGTGGGTAAAGCAGGAGGCTTGGAGGAGCTGGAATGTCAGCCAGGCTGCTTTATCACCCTTTGATTTATTCTTGCAGACTTCCAGTTTAACTTTATCAGGAGCTCTATATAAACTTATAATATTTATGTGATGCTGCTTTTACAAGTTTCTCTAGGTTGATGGATGAGGGATAATTGCCTCCCAGCAGAGGGGTTTTTTGGATACTGCTCACATATTAATGTGCACATATGAACACATGCACGAGATGAAAGTCGCCTGCATGCTTTGCTTCTTCATCTACTCTTATACACTCATCTGTCTCAATCTGATGTCTTTCCTTGACATGAAATAGGCAGAAAATATTAACACAATTTTAAAAAACCACACATTTCCACTCATGTCATGTTACAGGCTTAAATCCTTCCGTCCTGTGCTTTGATGTGAATCTGCTTTACGGTAATGTGTGGTGTTTATCAAACATTAGCGTGTTTCTCCCTCCTGAGTGCACTGTTGTAGCTCTATTATCACACAGGCCGCCGCTCACCTGGAGCAGCAAAGTGAATCATAATTACAGCTCACAGGTGCTCAGTGACTCCAGGCTGCCACCTCCCCCGCTGCTCCTTCTGCTGCTCCTCCCCAACATCACCTCTTGCTCCTCCTGCTGTTTCCCCTACCGAACGCTCATCTCACCCCCCCCCGGCACCCCTTTCCAAACATCGCCGTCTGCCTGTGCTGTTGCAGTCTCTCCAAGTAGGAGATCCTGCGTCCCAAAGCAGCACATAGAACTAAACTCCTGCTTCTCCTGCATCCCTCTCTGCTGCTGCTGCTGCTGCTGCTTCTTACCGAGCATCCTGTTAGTGCAGCTTCTTCTCCCCTAAGCATCACCTGCTGGCCCTTGTCTTCCCGTCTCCTGCCGCTGCTCCTCTCCAAGCATCATATTTTACTCCTTTTCTCCTTTTCGACTTCTTTTCCTCCTACACCACCCTCCACCCCACTGCTTCTCCCTTTGCTTTTCTTTGAGTATCTTCTCTTGCTCGTCCTCGGCAGACATGGACTCTCTTTGCTCCAGCTTTTTTCTCCTCTCAGTATGACCTCTTCTGCTGCTCACTACTGCTCCCTAAGCATTTTTTGTTGCCCCCCAAGCATCACCTCCTGTTGCTCCTTCAAACATCTCCTACTGCCTCTGCTTCATTTTTAACCCCTGCTGCTTCTCCTCCCATCCTGTCTCCACTCTTTTTCTGCTTCTTTTGCTCCTTCGCCTCGATCAGCTGAAGCGTCTCCTCTTGCTCGTCCTCTGCAGACATCCTGCACTGGTGCTCCTCTCCAACATCGCCTCCCATTTTCTCTCACAGCAACCCTCCAAGCTTTATCTATTGCTTCTTGGATAATCTTTCTCCAAGCATCACCTCCTGTTCCTCCTTCAAGCATCTCCTGCTGCATCTGCTCCTCGTCAAGCATCATATTTTACTCCTGCTGCTTATCTACCCTTCATTCACCCATCATCTTTTTCCCTCAAGCATGACTTCCTCTTCTTCTTTTTCATCTACACCCTGAATCCTACTGCTCCTACCTTTCTCCTAGCATCCTCTCTTGCTCATCCTCTGCAGACATGCTTTACTTTTGCTCCTCTCCAGCATCATTTCCCTTTTGCTCTTTTGCTTTTTGCCCTAGGCTTTTCCCCCCAAAAACCACCTTCTGCTCCTCCTTTTATTACCTCCAAGCATCTCCTACTGCTGCTCCTCTCTAAGCATCGTATTGAACTCCTGCTACTTCTCCACCTTTCAACTCCTACTGCTGCTACTTTTCCTTTTACACTCTGATCATATCCCGTTGCTTCCATCTTTGCTTTTCTTCCAGCATCTTCTCTTGTTCATCTTCTGCAATCGTCACTTCTGGTTTCTCTTGTTGCCACCCTCTAAGTGTGACCTCCCCAAGCCTTACATTTGGTTCTTGGTATATCCCCCCCCTCCAAGCATCCTGTTGCTCCGTTGCTCCTTCAAGCACCTCTCCTTGCCTCTGCCCTTCCAGCACGATCTTCTACTTCTACTCCACTCCGAGCGCCACCGTCGTTGCTTTTTCTGCTCGTCGTTTCCTTGCTGTTTCTTCCTACACGTTGAGCCTTCCTGCTTCTTCTCACCTCTTCCACTCCTGCTGCTCTCGCTCACTCCTCCTCCTCTTCAAGTGTGACCTCTCTCCACTTCTTCTTCTTCTTCTTCTTCTTCTTCTCCTCCCCAAGCATTATCACCCACTGCTTCGCCCTTTGCTCTTCCCCAGGTGTCTCCTCCTGCTGTTTCTCGTCACGCATCGCTTCACGCTTCACCTGCTGCTCTTTCTCACACTTCACCTACTACCTCGCCGACATCCCTCACTGCTTCTTCTCGCTCGCTCTTTCTCAAGAGCACCTTTCTTTCTCCTCCTCTTTGTATTTTCCTCTTTTTTTTTTTTTTTACAGTTTTCCAGACGACTTGTTTCAAGGTAAACAAGTCGTCCTCTGCGCTTCCTTCGCTTCTGCTCCTGCATCAGCCTCCACTCCCATGTCCTCTGCTGCTTCTCCTCCTGCCCCTGCTGTTGCTGCTGTTGCTTGTGGAAGCGCTAGATTAGTCTACTGCTGTGTTTTAATGGCGCGCGTAATGACGGGCTCCGTACTGAGTCTCCCCCATTACGAGACATGTAAATGTGTTGAAGGGCAGGCCTATTTTGATTAAACAGAATGTCTGCTGGAGTCTGTGTTTGTGTATTTGTGTGTAGTTGTGTGTCTGTGGGGGAGAGAGAGAGAGAGAGAGAGAGGTAGGAGGTTTAAGCTAGAGAGGAGAGACAAATGCGTACAGTGTGGGTGGTGGGTTGTTTTGTGGTCACGGTGGCCTTTTCATGGTAAGTAGGTGCCTAATGAACTGATGTATAAGCTGATCTGAGTCTGTTGGTGTAAAATAGACCCACTGCTGGCACAGTCACTGCTGTTATCTGTGCTCTGAGTGCACTTTCACACTTCTCCTCTGTAAACTCTCAGACTTTTTTTTTTCCCCCAGAACTTGATTGGTGCTTGCACTGGGCCGATTTTATTGCCTGATTTTCAATTATAGCAATTCAACATCAGCACGTATTCGACACCAATCAGCCACAGCATTAAAACCACCTCATATTGTGTAGGTTCCCCCCCTCGCGCCGTAACATTAGCTCTGACCGGTTGGGTCATGGATGTCCACATCTTCCTAAAAAGCAGTCATCTGGTGATTCATCTCTGAGGACTTGAGGAAAGTAATTCCAATAAAAACTGTTCATTGTGAAGTCTGTAGAAGTCACTACAACAGTATTTTTGCAAAGATATATGATCGCAGATGTGTCAGCATGGACTAATAAAACCAAAACTCTCCATGACCTATCAGCTGCACCATTGAAACTATCCTGCTAATATTGTGTAGGTCTTCCTTTTGTGTCACCTGAACAGCTCTAACCATTATGTGGGGTATGGACACGGGACTTCTGGGGATGTCCTGCAGCGTCTGGAACTGTGATTTTGGATCCTTTTGGATGTGGGGTGGGTGTCTGTGAATGGGTGTGTTCCAGCACATCCTGCAGATGCTCAATCAGATCAGGATATAAGGGATTTTAGAAGCCGTGTCAACACCTTGAGCTGTTCCTGGACAGTTTTTGAGGTGAAGTGGGGTGCACTGTCCTGCTGGGGGAGGTCGCTGCTGTTGCCGTGGAGGGGGTGTGTTTGTTCGGCAGTAATGTTTAGGTGGGTGATCCATGACAAAGTAACATCCACATGAATGCCAGGATTAGGAGTGTAACAAAACTCACAGTTCGGGTAATATAATGACTTTTAAATCACAGAGGATATCATTTTTCCGATCGGCAGCAAAGGAAAGGATGAGAAGTATACGGCCACGTCTGTCACCGTCCACTGCTTTTAACATGCGCCTTTCGTGTGGACACTCTGCTGCTTTGTATCTTGTCACTGCAGCTCTGTATCAAACTTCAGAGGATTATTTCTCACTGAGGTCCAGGTATGTTTTCAGTTCTTTGTCTATCTGCTTGTCGGGAAAACGGATTACACAAAAGCTACCGAGCTGAATTCCCTGAAAGTTGGTAGAGAGGTGGAACTTTCCTAAAAATTGTTAGATAGGGAAATCGGGCTTGGTGGAAGACTTCAATTTCCGAGTCTCCTTCGAGTTAGAAAAAAGTACCAGCGGCCACAAAATTGTATTTCACACTGTGATAGTTGAACTTTGCAGTTAACCTGCGTGCTGAACTGTAGGTGAGGATCTGTACGGATCAACTATGCTTCATTACATCACTAGCCAGCACCCGGCTGAACACTGCATTTCAATGAGTTGTACACTTCACCTGTCAGTGGTTTTAATGTTGTTACAGATGAATTGAACTGCAATACAGAAATAAAGATATGTATTAAGAAAGACTACTTATTTTCATTATCATTTAGGCTGCTGATTGTCCATCCATTATCTACACACCGCTTAATCCTCACTAGGGTCGTGGGGGGCTGGAGTCTATCCCAGCTGACTTAGGGTGAAGGCAGGGGACACCCTGGACAGGTC